TTGGTGAACCGGCACAGCCTCAGTATAGTTGGTGTCTGTGGCGTAATGTTAGTTGTGGCAGCTTGCTGCTGACATGCTTCACTTGTCTCTGCACTGCCTTGCTGCCGGTCGTCACGGTTTGAGAACTCGGCCTCTTTGCCACAGTACAGCAGCTAAATTGTATCTACGTGTGTTTCTGGAAGCAGTGTAGTTATCTCTGCCAGTATTTGGGAGGGATGCTTCACATTCTGATCTTATCACAAGATTATCAAAGAAATACTTGCGTTTCTGTTAGTTTCTAAGCAATGGAGTTAATCTGCCATCCCCAGGCACGCTGTGCATGAGACCCGTGACAGTGACAGAGTTCTTGACTTGCCGCTCTGATGTTTAAGGCAGAAATCAACAGATAAAATGCCGAAGTATTTAATGCTTTTGTATTTGAGTTGTGTATCTTGAGAAGGAGAGAACTGAGCTAAGAATGGGTTGTTAAGTGTCAGTAACTAAGCTATATGTGATTTGTTGGTGATGTTATAGCCAGAGAAGACTTTAAATAGGAGAAATCTGCCATATTTAAGGTCTATCCTGTACATGATAGAAGAAAACGCATGCGTCTGTCTCTGGCTTAGTACAAAGGAGCTTCATGCTGAGAAGGTGAACCAGAAAGATCTTCTTTTAAAGTAAATACCTACTGAAGAAAAACTCAAGTGTTTCTGTCAGGCAATGACTCTGCTGTAAGCTTCTCTCAAAGTAGCAGTGTATTTCTAGAACACTGGAAATCAAACCTCTTTTTAGTGAGGAAATTCATATGTGGCATTCACTAAATCTATAGCTTTCCAGCTGAATGGTATTGACTGTTTTTTAAGTGTGTATAATAGAGCAAAGAAGTGTGTGTACCCATGTAGAGAAGGATGCTTTTTAAGAGGTTAGGTTATGAAAGAAAATGTAAAGTTATGGAGTACGTGTAAAATCTTCAGCAGGTTTAGATGACCTTTCTGGAAGCGAGTCATGTGTTTGGTTAAAAACAATGGCCCTCTTTTTGGAATAGCTGCTAGTTGTGTAATAGCCATCATATGGTTCATGTTCATAATACCTCTGTGTTCTGCTGCTCCTTGTTTTCTGCAGAAGTGTTACAGTGGAGCCAGTAGTAATTCCTGTCAATAAGGTAGAAGGAAAGTATATAGTGAGACAACAGTGTGATGATTCAATTCAAAAGTCTTTTTGTAATTCTGAACTCTTTAGACAATCAGCTGTTGCTTCTTGCTGCAAATAGATCAATTATCCTAAATATATCTAAAAAGGAATTAAAGGAATTCATTACCAAAAAAATCAGTAATAAATTGTAAATCTACCAGTGTAGTGATGTCAGGGCAGCATTATGCTGTTTAGTTTTATCAACAGCAAAACTAATATAAAATCAGTCTGATTGACACATTGGCTTGTTTGTGGCTCTAGTTTCATGACTGACAACTGCTTAAAGCATTCAACAAGATTTTAGTGATGAGGAGTTGACCAGATATTTACATTTCTTATATCGTACTCTAAAGTATTGATAGAAATACATACCAGGAAGCCTGTTGGGGCAGATGAAAATATACTGCTAGAAATATTTTTTTAACATTGCTTAGGAACTTGATTGTGCAAATGTACTTAAAATTTTTTTGAAGTTCGATTTTTCTCTATTACTTGCATATTTTTAAATTTCATATCAAGAACATTTGCAGTTGTTAATTTCTAGAATCTTTCTTAAAACCTGTAAAAGAAAGAGTTAGATTTTGTTTGTTTGCCCACACAGAAAACTTCTTTAAGATCGTTCATTGGGCAAGCCTAGGTAGATGTTCAAAACAGTAATAAAAGCTTTTGGTCAAAGGCAGACTTGTAGATTATCATTTGTATGGTTTATTGCGTGTCATTAGCAAGCTGTTCAGTAGGGACACTGTTACCTGTGAGGCTTGCAGCTTGTGTGTTGGACTACTGCAAGACCAATCCTTATGTTTCAGGAAGTCTGCCTTCTGGTTTCCAATTCCCACTTAGGGTTTCCTCTTCATTTCTAGATGTCTTGGTCATTTCTTTCCTGTAATATTTTCATCAAATAACCCCTGAATAACAATCCTTGCTTCTTGCCCAGGAATTTGGCATTAAAGCTTAGCTATAGGAAGCAAAGGGTTTCTGTTTGTTGATTTCTATTTTTTTTTTCTTTTTATTGCTTAGAAACAAGCTGATGAGCAGTATAGCAAGAGGGTGTGTTTTACAGGAACTCCCTTGCTGCCACCACTGCACAGCTCTCCGTGTGAATCCTGCCTCAGACATGGAATTGGCATGGCCATTGTTTTCAGTCACCTAAGCAAAAGCTTCTTTCTGCTAATGCAGAATTATAGCATGCAATACCAGTTCTTATCTGGGATCAGCTGCACTGCTATGCAGACAATAAAAGAATTCCTGACCACCCTTACATCACTTCCTCCTTTTGTTGCATGGGCAGTTTAGACTTTCTCTTACGGTTCTGGTTTGTAGTCTCTGAGTATAGGTGTAAGAAATTAAGCTGTGACTTCAGGGTGTCTCACAGGTTCTCTTACAGAAGCTGCTGCTCCTGCAGCAGACACAACCAGCAGGCAGGCACTGTCACATCCTCAGCTTTTACAGATTATAGCCTGGCATTTTAGCACAAGCTCAAGTCATGGTTTAAGTAGATGAACTATGTACCTCTTACTCAACTTCTGCAGCAAGGTGCTTCACTGCAGGGATGAAACAGACATCTCAGAGATGTAACCAGTTCCACTGCTTCCAGGAAACCTAAAAACTACCAGGTATCGGGGACTAAGCAAATGCATTACCAGAATTAATTATATATATTTATGTTATTAATAACATAAATGGTGATGACATCAGGAATGGTTTGAGGATCAGCCTTCATTTTGATGCCACTTAATTTAGTTTTATTATTACAGAGAATGTGCATTGTCAATATACATTTTTCAGAGTTAAATCCATAAAACGTACCAGTTTTGAAATAATATTTTAAATCTTGTGGCACTTTTTTCCCAAGCCTTTGTGTAGTTCCTTTATTTATGGCATTGATTTTTTTTCCACCTAATAACTGTTAGGGTATTAAATGAAGATAAAGCTATTTTCAAATTTATATGAAAACTGGGTGTTTCATGAATGCCATCAGATATTGAGACTAGAAGTAGAATAGCAGTAAGTGGCAGGAATGTGCCTGATACACCTGAAGAAACTATTTACCTTCATCCTTTCCCTGTTTTCTAGGCAATCTGAAATGTGTGTTTGGTGTCCTGATAGTATTGGCCCATACACATTAAGCTATAGTGTAATAGATAG